AGTGATTTGCCTGCCTCGGCCCCTCAAAGTGCTGGGATTACAGGTGTAAATCATCACGCCCAACCTTAAGACACGGTTTTTTATTAAAATGGCATATGTAAGTGACATTATAAGCAAGTAAACTAAACAATTAGTAGCATTCTTAGTGAGATATTCTTTTGACTGAACACTTATAATCTGTGTAAAAACTGCTATAGAGCAGCTCTGACTAATGCAAACCACAGTGAGGTTGGAGCCAAAGTTATAACTGGGAAAGAGGTTGGCAGTGTGGAGGAATGAAAGCTAACAAGATATTTTTTTACTTCTCTTTTTCGTAAGATCACAAGAGCCTTAAAACAAAACAAACTTCAAAAAATCCAAAACCAATACATAAAAGTGTCACATATGTAATTGACATTTACTATGATTTTTAAGGATCTAAAATTGCACTTAGAAGCAAAGTCAAAAGAAAAACTGTACATGGGTAACATGCACTTAAAGAAAAAAGGAGGATCCAGAAGTAAACTGTCACTCCAAAACTTTGCCCAGCAACTTCAAATAATGAGAACATATGTTCCTGGATAGAAGTAATTGGAGTCAGCCAGGTGCAGTGGCTCACACCTGTAATCCCAGCACTTTGGGAGGTCGAGGCGGGTGGATCACAAGGTCAGGAGCTAGAGGCCAGCCTGGCCAAGAAAGTGAAACCCCATCTCTACTAAATATACAAAAATTAGCCAGGCACAGTGACAGACGCCTGTAATCCCAGCTACTCAGAGGGCTGAGGCAGGAAGAATCACTTGAACCCGGGAGGCGCAGGTTGCAGTGAGCCAAGATCACACCACTGCGCTCTAGTCTGGGTGACAGAGCAAGACTCCATTAAAACAAGAAAGAGAGAGAAAGAAAGAAAAAAGAAGTAACTAGGGCCAACTTCATAGGAGACCATGTGACAAGTAAACAACAGGTTTTGTTTGGTCAGCCCTCTAAAATGTCCACATTCCACTGGATTGTGTCATCACTTTTCTATTGTCATTCAGTCTCCAAACTCCTGTGGCATTACTTTAATCACACAGTTTTAAAGTGTGATTAAACTTTAACTGTGTCACCTAATGAACTAACTTCTAAAACTCTCACACATATCATTTCCTCCCTATTCTCACTGTCATCATCTTAGTTTAATTCATCATTATTTCTCACCTATTGTGTTATAACAGCCTCCTCTAACTGATCTCCGGTAACTGATCTATGTCCATCCTTACTGTTCTCCAACTCATTTTTAACACTGTAGCTGGAATGTCTCCTCTCAAACCTAAACCCTATCTGATCATGTCTCTTCCCAGCTTAATTCCTTCAAGCATTCTCTATCAACAAGTCCCTTCAGCTGCTTCATTTTTCTTTATATTTATCACTACCTGACATACTATATTACTTGCTTGTTCACTGTCTCCACTCCAGCTAGAATATAAGTTCAATGGGGCAGAGTTTTGGTTCACTGCTATATTTTACAAGCATGAATGAATAGACTGACAACCCACAAGCCAAAGATCTCCAGGACCTGCCACTGCCCTCCTTTCATTTTATTCTCATCTCTACCAATACTAAATCATCCAATTATCTTAAATACAATATGCACTTTTATGCCCTCTTGCTTTGCCATATGCTGTTCTCTTTGCCTAGAATATAAACTTTCAAGCTATCATCCACATTTTAAAACCTTCTCCAGAAAACTTCCTCTGATCACCCCTCCCTGCCAATAGAGTATTCCAGTCTTTCCTTTGTGCTACATCTGTAGGTACCTGTATCATCTACAGTGGCTCTAATTGAACTGCACTATGTCTCTCACTTCCTAGACTGTGAATTCTTTGAGGCTGAAGACTATTTATTCATCTCTTTACCTCCAGTGCCTAGGACAGGATCTTCATAAGGCAACTACTCTATAGATGTTGAGTAAATTAACATACGCATGACTATTCTATAACAGGAATGAAAATGTGGCATTTCAAGAAGTCATGCCACTCCAGGCCATGATGAATTTTAAGTATAACCAGCCATGTGATAAAACAATTACAACTAATGCCATCATCCAAGGTAACAAAAGGGAAGGAATAATACACAAATCCCCAAATGATTCCAAAATAATTTACACGTAGGCATACTCACACCTTATTAGATATATATTCTGGTTCCTTCTTCCTCCATCATTTGTCTTCCCTTTAGGCTGGATTCTGTGGCTGGCAACTGGAGGACCAGCTAAGTAGGAAGTAGAAGGGAGACTTGGGTTCTTCATGAATATTCTATTAAGTAGATCACCCTCTGTGGAAGTTTTTGATGTGTCATCTAATACAAGTTTTTGTGTTCCCTTATAGTTTGATAAAATCTCAAAGTACCAGTAGAGGACTAGATTTTATCACTAGCCGTCTAATCCTGAACTAAAGACCAAAACTTCCCACCACCTGTAACCTATACAATAAATGGGTTACAGTTGTGCCTCAACTATCAACGCCTTCAGTCCTTGGAGCAGCCACACAGGGCATCCCTGATCAGTCACCTTCAACCATAGGAAGACTGATCCAGCATCTTAGTGTGCCTTACAAATATTACTATTTTTTCCCTGAATGCTATAAACCAAGGCCATAAATCTAACCATAAGGAAAACCTGCCTTCCTTACTTGGTTCTAAGAGTGTGAATCTGTATAAAATGTACAATCACACACATGCATACAAATGTGTAGGCATAAATTTACATGAAACCACCATTTAGAAAAGTTTTAAACCCAATGACAGCTATTAATAATATAACCTCAAGTGAAGCCAGGAGATGAGATGAAATCCTTTATTCCACCCCTCACTACCACTCAGTAACCAAGTTATGGAAATTTTACCTCCTCACATTTTCTCAAATAAGTTGTTGATGCCCAATATTATGACTTAGTTCAGAATCCCAGCATTTCTCCCTGGGAAAATAGTCTCCTAGTCGCTCTGCCTTTGGACACAGTGAAAACTGCAGCTATCATTCTTTGAAAGGTTATGTAACAGACATTGCGCTAAACAGTTGATCATTTAACTCTATATTTTTCAGTTTTCACAGCAATACTGCAAAACAGGAATTACTGTTCCCATTTTTACAAATGAGGGGACTGAAACTTTGAGAGGTTAAGTGACTTGCCCAAGATCATACAGCTGAAACCATGTAGTGAAAATTCAAATCCAGGTCTATGCTCCCAGCCATTATATTGCCAAACTGCTCAACTTGGTCTTCAATTTGGTCCCAGTGTGACCTTTCTAAAAGGCAAATCTAATCATGTCTTGCTCCACATAAAATCCTGTAAACAAGATTCACCTCTCCAGTCTTCAACCCCTGTCATTCTCACCCTCTCCTGCCACACTTAAGTCTCAGCAGCTCCCTAAGTTGTCTGTCACTTCTTTACCTGTGAACATACTGTTTGTATGCCAAGAAAACTTTTCCCCTTTGGCAGACTATTACTAATGCAAACATCCAAAATTTACTCAGACAATAGTTATTTTGGAAAGTCTCTGCACCAACAAACACATAACCAAAACTGGGTTAAGTGAGCAGGTATACAGTTCTGAGATAAGTTTCTTATAACGCTGTATTATAATTTTACCTACTAAGCTATTCTTAAGAGTAAATGCTGTATTTTTAAATTCCTGAATTGCTGGTACAGTGTATATGTTGTAAAAACTCATGTATGTTGAATTAATTCATCAGAAGCAGGACAGCTCAGGAATTTGGCCATGAAGTCAATTTGATGTGCTTTCGAATTCTAGCCTGTCACACAGCGTAACTGCTAAGCCTCCAGCAGACTTAATTTTAATTTATTTATCTGTAAAATGGGAGAAAGCCGCACCCACCTCACAGCTTGGGAAGAAACAAAGGATTTAGCACAATCTTTGGCACACTGAAAGTACACTTTAAACATTACTACATATTTTTTTTCACTGTCCGTTTACCTACAGTGACAAAGCCACATGTCAGAAAATAGCTTCTCCTACTAGCTTTCATCAGAGATTAAGATTTCCCCCAAAAAATCGAAAGTCAAGATCTCTTACAAACATCCCTTATCGGTAGACCCTCATCATTCAGCTTCTGGTTACACAGAGCGTAGTAGCTATACCACCACACCTTAAACCACTAGGTAGTGTTTGCAGTTTATGTTTCTCACCCATTCATCCGTTTCCTCCCTCAAAGTCAACACATCTTGCTCCTAAGCAAGCAGAACTTACCCCACAGAAACCAGTCAGCACCTTTTCCCAGGGCGCCACCAGTTTCCCCCAAAGCAGGCTTTCGCGAATGAGAGAGATCCCTATAATCTACCATCTACTACAAACTTAAATCTCGGAGGAGAAGCAAAATAGAACCCCTGCTCCCCATTCCAAGACCTCAGCACGCAAAGTACTCATTTAAGATAAAGAATGAATTCCTGGCACTAAGAATTCAGGAAAAAGGAATCCTTTAAACCCTTCCCCAATGAGTTCTTCAAATCTGTTAGACTCACATAGTGACCAAAATCCACCATCCCATCCCGCCCACCATTCTGACAGAATCTAGGGTCTAGTCCTCCCTCTCTTGAAAGAGAGATGGGTCCCTGCTTTCAGGGACCGGGATGCCTTCCGCCCACCCGTGTCACTTCCCTTCCCACCTCGCCTGTGTCCTTCTGCAGCACAGGCCCGGCCTACTCCCTCGCCGCTAGCTCCTTCCACAGACCGCCACTCACCGCTTCTTGGGAATGGTGCCCGACTCCTGCGAGGCGGGAGTGGCCGTGGGCGCTGCCGTGGCCGCCGACGCGGCTCTCCGCGCTTTGCACTCATTGGTACTCAGAGCCTCCCGGGGCCGGCCCAGCAGATGGCCGGAGAGAATCCGCAGCCTCCGCCCGGCGCGGTCCTGGTCACGGTCCGCTGCAGAGCCGGAGCTCGCGCCCGAGCCCGTACCACCCGCTGCAGCCGCCGCCTCCGCCATGGCTACCGCCTTGTGCCGCCGCCCGGAACCGCTGGGCGCGGGTGAAAGGTCACTCAGAGCGGAGCCCGGCGCGACCATTCGCTGCGGCGCATCCCGGCAGCCACCGCGGCGACTGGGCGGCGGGTGCCATGCGCCTGGAGTACATCCTCTGCCCCCACCCACCGCGCCAGCACTCCCGGGTCACGCCTTGGGGCGCGCGCACCTGCCAAGCAGGTGAGTGCCAGCGGACTCCAGGTTGGCCCAGCCGGGGCTAGTTGAACCAAGAGCCAAACCACAACCGCCACTGAGGTGTCCTAGAACCCTGGGTGGTGTCCTCGGGTGTGGCCTGGGAGAGCTTTCGAGGGCAGATGCCTTGGAGCAGGAGAAGTGGGGAGTGCTACTGCACCTGACTGATCCAACTGCATCCTTTTCCCGAAAGAGATTCTAATGTTCCACCTGTGCTCTCCCGCCCAGCCGGGTCATCAAAGTAAATCAAAGCTGACCATCATTGCCTCTAACCATTAGAGCAAATAACTGTATATTTTCTCATTTCTCATCACCTCTTTGGTACCTGGCATTGTGCTTAATGCTAGATCACAAGTAAGTACAGACGAAAAAACGGTTCAGAGACTTAACCTAACTTGCCAGAGAGTGTGCAGCCAGTAAATGCTAAAACTGAGTTGCAACTTCAGTTCTCTTTCCATTCACTACTGGATCCTACCCGCTTCCTAACTCTAATAGAGACTAAGTTTCTTATTGCTACAGATGAAAATTACCCAAGAGCTGTTCTTAAGACATTTCAGTTATTTACAAGTTGACTTCATTTCTGGAAGACAGCACGTGGTGAAATTAGGTGGTCTTCTAGAAAAGTGCTCCTTACCCATTTTTCAGCCAGTGTCTTGCATAAGAATTAGCTTAGATGGAAACTCACATACACTGGCCATTGTCATTCTCCATCCTGTCACCACTTTCACGTCATGCTTTCCTAACAAAAATATCGGCAGAGGAATCCGAAGAATACCACATCGGTAGAGCTAGAGACTAGCAATTGCTGTTTAGGGTCTTGGCAGCTTCTAAAATTGAGATTATGCCTTTACAGTGAACTTCCCAAGAGTCTCAGACTGATTAAAAACTATCAATTAAGGGCTAAGCAAATTGCTGTTGGAGGGCCAGCTCTAGCTGTGGCCTGTTTTTATACAGCCATCATGCTGAAGGTTTTTGTATTTGAGAAAGGTTGTTAAAAGAAAACAAGAAATGTTTAAAAAGAATATGCAACAGAGAACTTATGTGGTCCCACAAGCCCAAAAATATACATTACCTGGCCTTTACAGGAGGTCCTAATATCCTCTGAAATTCCTATACAAAGAGATGCCAGCCCATTGAAAATAGTCCAAATGTCTAGCAACAGAGAAGTGGTTAAATAAAGTGTCAATATGGTAAAATACTTTTGCAGCTATTAAAATAATTTAGTACAATTGTAGAAATAAGAAATAATTATGAATTTGTTAAACATAAAAAATGGCCATAACCTAGGCATTTTATACATATCTCTTTAGTCCATCTTTGCAACAAGACAATGACACAAGTTTTATTATCCTTATTTTATAGATGAAGACTCAAGGAGAGTAAGAAGCTTTTCTGAAATAGCTATTTTATCTCAAATTCTGTATACTTCATGTTATTGTCTTTATTCCACCATTAAAGTTTGGGGACATTAACATTGTATGTTCAAATTACTTACATAGGCTTAGGGTTTTTGTTTTTTGTTTTATAGATTCTAAAATTGAACTTCCTAAAATAAATTTTCACTTTAGCTATAAACTGTGCTTCTGGTTCTTCAGGATTGAGTTCTGGGAAGAATTTCAGAGATTGCCACCACAGCTATCAGGACCTCATTCCTGAGATGCAAAGACATGAAACACATAGCACTTTCCTAGGTATTTATAACTGAAAAAAAGATCATCTTTAGCTTATCTAGTATAATTAAATATCAAAGCCTGCAAGCCACTGGTTTCTGGTTTTGCATACTTTGTTGCCTACCCTCACAAAAAAGAGGTTGTATCTGATTGACATTTTCAGTATTCAGCTGATAACCAGAAAAGGGACTATATGCTCCTACACATTTGATAATAGAAGAAAGGTATCCTAGCTTCCTTTCCTTTACTTGACTTCATTGTCAGTTAGAGAAGTTGTCTCTTATTTTAAAATTTTAAGACCCACTTTGCCTTCCAATGTCATGTACATCATTGTATTCTTTTTGTCTTGCACAATCTGACAAAGCCACACTCATATCCTCTGACTTGATAAAGCAGTCTCCAGAACAGATGGAGGTGACTCCATTCAATAATTAATGAGCCAAGAATTATTCCCACATACTGTCCCCTCAGTTCATCTAGGCATTTCCTCAATTTCCTTCTGTTTTACCTCCTCCTTTATCTTTAGAATTCAATCTCAGATGCCACCGAAGAAGTTGTTACAGAAAGAAATACTAATAACAGCCGTCTAGACCTATCAGTTATTGAATTGAGATGTCCTGTAGCCTTTGATACAGTAGATCATTTTTTGTTTGTGCAAGAATGTAATCCCCTGATTCTCCATGTGCTTCCTTGAATGGGGTAGAAACTGAGCTCATTTTCCCCTCCCTTTTATGCTTCCTTGTAGTCCACCAAGGTGCCATGGATCCTGCTCCATCAACCTCAGGGCTATTTTCAGCCTTTTCCTCTTTTGCCTTGTATACTAAGTACATCAACATTATCCTCTGTGTCTCTTAAATCTATTCTTTCCCTGATAATTTATTCTCTTGCTTATCATTTATCATGTTCTGTATTTAATGTTAATTAACTTTTCGTTTACTCATATCTGTTTCTCCCAATAGGCTGTAAACTCCATGAAGGCAGAGTTCATATTCCACTTAAGAATCCGAGACTTATATTTAATTTATAAATGACTCATCACTTTGAATTTGGGGAGAGACACTGAGTCAGAGTCCCCATAGGAACTATTTTCCTCTTTTCCCTTATTTGAAAATGCCTAGCTACGGAGGTTGCAGTGAGCCGAGATTGTGCCACTGCACTCCAGCCTGGGTGACAAAGTGAGAACCTGTCTCAAAAATAAAAAAAAGAAAGAAAGAAAATGCCTAGCTAGTATTTAATGTACAAGGTTACCTCATAGAAGAGCACTTTCCAAGATGATGGAAATGTTCTGTATCTGTACTGTCACTGCGCATAGTGTCATATGTGACAATGAGCACTTGAAATGTGGCTAGGATAAATGAGAAACTGAATTTTTAATTTTAATTAATTTAAACTTAAATGACCTTATGTGGTTCTTGGTGACTGCATTTGATAGCACAGACAGAGTTTAAGTTATTGGTGCCTGGAGATATCAACGTTACCTTTCCCATACTACTGTTAAAACCCACACTGGGGTGTGGAGAAGAAAAATATGCAAGAGGCTGGGTGCAGTGGCTCATGCCTGTGATCCCACCACTTTGGGAGGCCGAGGCAGGCAGATCACGAGGTCGGGAGATCGAGACCATCCTGGCTAACACGGTGAAACTCTGTTTCTATTAAAAATACAAAAAATTAGCCAGGCGTGGTGGCACGTGCCTGTAGCCCCAGCTACTTGGGAGGTTGAGGTAGGAGAATGGCTTGACCGTGGGCGGTGGAGGTTGCAGTGAGCTGAGATTGCACCACCACTCTCTAGCCTGGGTGACAGAGTGAGACTCTATCTCAGAAAAAATAAATAAATAAATAAGAAAAATATGCAAGAAGTATTTGTCCCTTGCATACTGACCTAGAGCTATAAATGTATTTTATCAGAAAAAAAATGCTCTAAATGATTGATGTGGTGAAAATAATACCATTTCCAGTACGTTATCGATTAGATAGGCTTTTACAAGCCAGCTTGCAGATCTAACCATCAGAAATAAGTTTCTTTCTATGTAATGTCCAAGTCAAAGATAAGTCTTGGGAATGGTAAGAAAAGAGGTTTCTATAAGGTTTCCAAGCCTATGCAGTTACCTCCTTTCTGATTCACCACATTCTTTGTAATATAGGCCCTGTAAAAAAGTTAAGACGTTCTAAGAGTTATTTGGCTAATGTAAAATAACTATTTAATGGTTCTGAGAAAACGTCAATGAGGAGGATTTGATTTGTGTGCTAAATTTCCAGATCTTAAGCGATTGTTCAAGCGCTACCCAGTCAAGCTCAGAAGGATCTATTGATTTTTGCCTGACTCCCTCAAGTGCTCAATCTGACACTACTAAAATACTTTAAATGTAAATGTAGTTAACTGCCTCTTTGTCCAAATTGAGGTATAGATATGCTTCTTTCCAACTCTCAGAGGCAAAATTTATGAATTTTGCAGCTATCAATAGAGTAACAAAAAGCTTTCTTCTGGGTAATAAAAAGCTTAACGTAAACCAAAATTATGTACCAATAGAAAAACTACTGATTATATATATTTTAAATTTGTATACAGTAATGAAAACACATAGACAGTAAAAGCATTTGTTAAAAGCCTATCATGTACCTAATTCACTACTAGGTGCTATGAGATGCAAAAGTATTTAAGCCAATGCCTCGTCTACATGGTGTAATCAAGCTAGTTAGAAGTCAATCTGTAAGTGGGAAAAAAATCTTGTAATACTATTGGTTGGAATAAGTATGAAGGTGACCTTGATGAAGTTTCCTACCACAACTCCATACAAAAGTAGAATCCAAGCAGGTTATCCTGAATTTATGCTAGCAGAGGAACAGATATTTCACATGAAGCCAAGTCCATTGAGATTCTTGTGATTCCCACAAAAATTAAAACCCCAGTGGATATCACTTTTAGAAGGGCCATCTCTCTTTTTTAGAGAGGCTAGCAATAGATCAATGCTTATAGGGACACTTGATATATGACAAAGTTGGCAATGTCAAACAAAATCTTTTCAACAAGTGGTGCTGAGACAACTGGTGCTGAGACAGCACCACTTGTTGAAAAGATCTTGTTTGACATTGCCATTGCTACCTTTGTCATATATCAAGTGTCCCTATAAGCATTGATCTATTGCTAGGCTCTCTATTTTGTTCCATTGGTTTATCTACCAACTTTGTATCAGTATCACACTATCTTAACTATTTTATATTCTTCTAGATCTTCTACATAGAAATATATCATTTGTGAATAACGACAGTTGATTTCTTTCATTTCAGTCATTATATCTTGCGCTTTTTCTTGCCTTACTC